ACTTGTCCAAAGCCGAACTCCAGGGTTATATGGGCAGGTGAAAGTGATTGTTGGGAATCCTGTCCAACAGGCCCTGTATGCCCCACTGAATAAACATGCCAGGCAGTTTTCCGTTTTGGAAGAGAGTGCTTCAGATAAAACAGAACCTCAGAGTCGGGGAAAGAACATTAAAATAATTCACTAAAGAAGAACAACATAAAACATACGTACTCTCCCAATTAAAAAACTTATAATCTATCTCAGTGCTGCCGATTTGTGTGTGTGTGGCTTATCACTAATCGTGGTGTACATTAAATAGTATTCTAAATAAACTTCCTGAGTGATTAGGGATTGGAATTCAAAAAGATAAAAGGCACAGCATTGGAACATCAGTTGGAGAAAGTATGATAAATTCAAAGAAAACATGATAACAGAAAAAGATTTAAGAAGAGTTGTAACTCGTTCCTCAAATACAAACGGTTAACGTGCTTGGCTGCTAACTGAAAGGTTAGAGGTTGGAAACAAAGCTGAAAAAATCAGTCATCAAAAACCCATGAAGCACAGTTCTTCTCTGACACACACTCATCAGTCACCTGATGGCATCTAGTGCGTTTTGTGGGGATAAAATTCTAATCGTTAGAATCAGATCTCTATTCAAATCCTGGCTCTGCTTCTTGTCATTTATGTAAAACTTGCTAAAGTGCTTAGTGCAGGGTCAAGCATATAATATGTATGTTGATACTCATTGCTTTTTCTGTCACCCATACGTGGAAACTTAGACTACATGGAATATGTTAGTAATTGGAAAACCACCAGCAAGGGGTATGGCTTAATAACATAGTATCAGAAATATCTACTTCCTGCTTAAGCAAAACCTGCTGGCAGAATATCTAAACTGAGTAAGAATTTTGAAATCCTGATTTGACAGATCTAGTAATAAACTGTCAAGGTTGTACTGTTTTTTGGTAAATGACAAGATCTTATAACAAGTGGATTTGTGCATGCATGCTACTTGTTCTGTTCCAAGCACATGAAAGGTATTATCTGTGTGTGCTCTATTATCTAACTGCCTCGTGAAGAGTCCAACATCGACACAGCTGTTACTAGAAGTTCTTACCACTTCTTTGAATCACACACACACACACACACACACACACACACACACACACACGCATGATCTTTAAGATAGAGTACTTGACTAGGTGGGATGTAAGAGAGCTTGGTTTTTGTTTCCTCTGGGCCACTGATTGTTTAATGCAGGCAAGTTTTTAATGTAGGGTCTGGTCTGTGTCTATATTGAAATGTATTTCTAAAATGTTGTTGTTGTTTTTTTTTTTCTAACTCTTAACTTTCAGTATTTTAGTAGGTGACTACAAGAATCATTTCAGCTCTGGGGAAAGAAACCTTGTTAGTTCACTAAAACCGAGGTTTGACAGGCCAGCAAAGCATATTGAAAAGAGCATTAGACCATGACTCACCCACAGCCACCCAGTTAAGTTGCAGAATTATTAAAATTCTTTGTCAGCATCTAAGGAAACTGAGGTGCACAGAGATGGTGAAAACATAGACCCGCCTTACTTTCTTCTTAGAGCTTTTTCAGGAATCTGACAGGATGCCAGATATAGAAATGTGTTATTTGGTACTCTTCGCATTAGGTGCTACTATTACATTGGCAATTTAGGACTATGATGAAAAATAGCTTCTAAGAATTACTGCTTTTTAATTTAGCCAGTGTTATAAAAAAAGTAATCAGATACTTCAGGTTCTGCTGTAATAGTACTCAGATTTATGGTATTAATCTTGTACCTATAAATGTGATTTTTACTCATCTGAAATCCCATCAGTTGTGTTTTATGACTGCTTCTATTTTGCCAACAGTAAACAAAAGTGTGTATCTATTTATAAATTTTTCATCTGTCTTTGTAAACCTTTGCCAACCCATACTGATGAAAACTTTGTAGAAACAACTATTTATTACACAGGAAACTATTTACCTTAGTATATACATTTTACCCAAATAAGGCAGAAGATTAGCCAAATTGGCCATTCTTCCCCTTATAGAGATGAATATTTGGTACTTTAGAGTTGGTAGAAAGAAAAGAAGCAAAACGATGTACAGGGGGAGAAATGCCTTTCCTTCCCTTGTATGTAACTGGCCCTGAGGCAAAAGATTTGATTCAAATTGTTTTAACATTTGTAACTGCAAAATTAGGCAAGAAGACAGCATTTAACACTCTGACCTCCTGAGGCTGTCTTGCTTGCATCTTTTAAAAGCATTTTAAACTTTTTACTAGTAATTTAAGCCTCTTCTGAATTTTAAAAAAATACCCCAAACTGACTAGAAATAAAAGAGTGGACTAAATGCAGTAAAGTAACCATTTCTCCACTAAACCTTGTCATTTGATGCTCCTTGTAGGTTCTACTTAGATCTTCTCCACTTATGATAATTCCCTTCAGAGAATTTTGCAAGTTTAACTTAGTTCCTTATATCTACAATTTCCCAGTCTTCCTCAAATTTCCATTCCAAACTTAGCTCTACTCATGAGAAAAATATATTCTGCAGAAAAATTTAAAAATGTATGTTTTATACTAGACTCAATTGCAATTATCCTCTGTAAGAGTCACTATAGGATTTTTAAAATAGTGTCCAATACTTCATGTCAAAATTGTGCCGCCTTTCAGAGGCTGCTCATTTTTTCCAATAAGTTTTTCAAGCTTTCTGAAATTCTAAGTAAACGATATTTGTTTTCTTAGCTTCTCCCAAGTATTTTCAATGATTAGAAGGTTTTAAGTTTCCTCAAATGAGATTAGTAACTCATGATTTGATAAAGTTAAACTAGACAGTTCATTCCTTCCTTGGAACTGAGGATAGGTATAACTACTTTAAACGTCCAATGACTCATCAGCTTTAATCTCATATTACTGTATGAGAAACATGAAAAAACAAAAAAAATATAAATTAAGCTAAGGAAGACAATGGTTGTGAATGATTGGAAAGTATAATGACCCCTTAATTACCACTAATTTGCAACTAAATTGATTGTAGAAACAGATTATTAGTAACCAAAACTAAAGGTTAAAAACTGAAGCTACTACTTACTTGTAGTGTTCCTTAGTTCTTACGAAGGCATATAAATGCAGTACTAAAGTGAAAACGTCTTAGCTGAGTTGGTTTCATTTTTCCGGATAAGATTACTAAATATCTATGATACACATTGAGGGTATGGTATTTTTTCATAGTTAAAATGTGGGTAAATTACAAACGACACATGTAACTCTTATACTTTCTTACCTGATGTTCCTCAAATACTTTTAAAAGCTCTGTGATAAATAGCCCTGCATCTCAGAGCTAGGTCTACCACTGGATGAATTACTCTGTTTATGTCTCTCTAGAAGCTGGAAGAAAATTCTTCATCTGCGATGGCACAGTAGTCAGTAGCTTGTCATTCTTACCTCCAACCAAAACATTGAAAAAGTATGTGCTTGTTGCTAACCGTCTAACTCTAATACCTCTGTTCCTTAAAGTGGATGTTCTGTAAATAACAACCACTCACTTTGTCATTTACTGTTCTGGAAAGCATAAGGCAGAGGTCACTGGGTCCCTGTAGGAGCAGAGTTGTTTCTTTCAAAATCTCACTTTATTTTGAGTTGCCATTACAGACGGTAAAATATACTTATGCAACTCAAGTGTGACTTTACTCTGTAAATTACAGTGGGTTCTGGAATGGCTTAAAGGCCTGTCTGACCAATTGTATTTACTTCTGTTTATACAAATTGGCACGAAGCTACTGTACACTGACTCTCAGCTACCTCTAAGTTCCTTCCATTTTTAGTCACTTTTTATCAGAGAAGTAATATTTTTACAATAAAGATTGCTGGGCAGTATTTATAAGAGACAGAAAACAAGAGCTCATTACATTTATTTTTTCTTCCTCCAAACTAGCCCAAACTACCAACTTAGAAAGTCATTATTTTCTAAGTTGGTAGTTTTGAATTTTCAGAATTCAGTGTTTTGAGAGATGGCGGCGTAGTAGTTTTGAGAGATGGCGGCGTAGTAACCTCAAGGTCAGCAGTTTGAAACTATCAGGTGTTCTGCAGCACAAAGAAGAGGCTTTCTGCTCTCATAAAGCTTGACAGCTTCAGGAACCCTATACAGACAGGGTCACTACAAGTCGGATTGGACTCCATAGCATATGACCATCACCACCACCAAATTGCTTTCAAGAGAAACTCTATAATAATGCATTGAATTTATCTGCTCATCTGCTTCTGTTTTAAATACAGGCAGTGTGAAAAACTAGTTAGCTATTGAAGCTTTTTGCAGATAACATTTGAAAAATTAATCCAAAGGTAATATTAAAGAAGTGTCATAAGAAGCAAAGTGGGCCAAAATGAAACTGACACGCTGGACCAATGCCAAAAGTAGATGTGTTCCAAGATCTATGACTGATCTTAACATGTGTAGGTTTTGGGAGTCAGAGGGACCTAAGGTTCATCATAAGAGGTAGGGCTTTGATATGGCAACAAATAAAGCTACCTCTACATTTCAGTTTCTCTAAAATGGCACAGTATTTAGACTACATACAAGACAACTAAACTTTCCTCAAGCTCTAAAATCCTAACATTCTATATACTTGAAAACTCCCCAAACTTACTCTCCTAAGGAAGTGTGTACAAGACAGAGATGGCCCGCCATCCTGGCATTTCAGGCACGCTTGTTTACAGTGTGGAGGAGGGGGCTGTCACACTGCTGTACTTTCTCCTCCAAGTCTGGCAGAGGGCGGGTGTTTCCCCCGAGGGTTCAAGGCCAATGTCAGGCATCAAGGGGTTGGGGCTGTCCCCCAGGGAGGAAGGAAACTGGGCTTCTGGGGGGAAAAAAAACTAAGGAGTGGAAGAAGGAAATGCACCTGTTTCAGTACGCACAGAGCGTAATGGGGATCTTCTCTGCCAAGGAATCAGACAGGACAGAGTGGACGCGAGGGAGGTGTATGTGGGCTAAAATCCCAGCCCGGGCCACTCACCACGAGGGGGATGGAGCAGATGAGCACCACCACAGAGGTGGCGATGAGTAAGATGACCATCTGGATCTCAGCGCCTGCGATGCGGCGGAAGCTCCTGCGGCGTCGGAAGTCCCGGAGGCGCGGCAGGGCTGGGGAAGCGAAGGCAGTATGGCCTCGGCAGGCTGCGGACACCACGGCGGCGGCCGCTGCGTGGTGCTGCTCGGTTCCTAGCGAGGTGCGGCGCATGAACTGGCGGTGCATGCGAAGCAGCGCGCTACAAACAAACAAGTTACAGAGCACTGTGGCTAGGATGAGGAAGGAACTGAAGCCGGCGTACATGTAGGAGAAGGCAGCATGCGCCGTCACGTTGGTGGTCCAGTCGATGAAGCACCAGGTGTCTGGGTACTGTAGACGCGAGCTGCCTAGGCCCATGCTGGGCAGTGCACAGAAGAGCACGTTGGACACATAGACGGCGAAGAGCGTGAGGCCGGCCAGCCGCTTGTCCACGTAGTGGCTATAGAAGTAGGCGTGGTTGATGGCCAGGTATCGCTCGATGCTCATGGCACAAATGATGCTGAGGCCCGACAGGCTGAAGAAGAGTAGGATGAAGGTGCTGTACTCGCATAGCGCCTCACCCCCAGGCCACTGGCCCTTCATGTACGTGGCGATGGTCACCGGGCTCACCAGCAGCGTGCCCAGCAGGTCGGTGACAGCTAGCCCGCATACCAGCGTGTAGAAGGTCGTCTCCTTCTGCTCCTTGCGCGATTTGCACAACACCACGATGGCCACCAGATTGCCCACCACCCCGAAGATGAACATCACCGCCGGGATGGTCACTGGGTGGCTCAGACGGTGGGGGATAAAGGAAGCAGACACATTGGCTCCGGAGGTGGACATGGTGGTGGCCGATGGTACGCAGCCCTGGGGTGCGAATCTGAGATTAGGGAAGGTAGGAGACACAAAGACGCGGTGAGCAGAAACGTTCTCTTGGAAGGTGTTAGAACCGAGCCTAAGAAACAATACTCTGATGAGACACGGGGACAACGGGAGTCTATGTGGTAGATTGTGGTCACTCAGTAACTGCACCTAACAGTTCTCCAGGCTTCAGACACGTCCTGCAAAAAGCACCACTCAACTGGCATTAATATTTATAAGCTGATGCTGTCATTCCATTCTCCTCCCCCAACTCAACTCTCTCCACTGCCAAGATGAACAAGATTCATCTCCCGGGAAAAGTGGTTCGCTATTGTTACTCCCGACAGAACTCTAGTCAAGAAAATTCTCATTGAAACAAGTTACGGAAGACCAGTTGGTGAGCGCTTTCTTAGACCTACGACTGTCCCGGGGAGTGCCTGGTCACTGCGCTCTTTGCCCAGCGACCCAGCCCCATCTCACCTGTGGCGGCGGTGACAACCGTCTGGGTTAACAGGGTCACCCCTCTGATGTTCTGGGCACGCCTCCAACCTGCCCCTCAGCCTCGTTCTGCTCAGTCCGGAGCCTGCCAAGCCTTAGCTTTCTCGGAGCGGTGTCTCAATGACTACCAGATCTCCGGAACTGGGTTCAGAGTGGCCAGCCTTCAAAAATGTACATAGCCAGAGGGTGCAGTGCGGTGGCACAGTGAAGACTGGTTTGGGATTTCTTGTTAGATATTCCTCCAAAGATAAGTCCCAGCTTTATGGAGCCCACAGGTGTCCGCTCAGGTGTGTCGCCTGGCGCGCAGGTGACACGGAGGCTCCGTCCCCGCTCCAGCCTCCCTCCTCTCTCGTTGCGGGCAGCACAGGCGGCTACCGGGGCTGATGGCTGTCGCTGCAGGCGCTCCTGGTGCCCTGAAAGAGGTTCGGGGTCCGCTCAGCCTGGGACTCTAACCTAGGGCTGATCATCTTCTCTCTTTCCCACTGTTGCGCGGAGAGCTCCGCTCTCACCCTTCCAGCCACTGTACAAACTTTTTTTCCCCAGCTTCAAATTTCCCTGGCGGAGGCGGAGACAAGCGGCGCACGGCTCGGGCGATCATTGGTCAGATGGAAGGGGCGGTGCGCCAAGGGTGGAGGGAGGGGCTCCAGCCTGCGGAGTCCAGGCCGTGCCGCCTCCGGGCGGCTGCCCGCCCCTTTCCCGCCCTCGCTTGGCTGGAGGTCTGAGAGCTGCTGCCGCAGGGCTTCCAGCTGGTGGTGCGCTGAGGCCGCCACCGGCGGGGTCACCGGGAAGCCTCCGTGCTCTCCCAGGCACCGTGTTAGCCACTTCTCTACTATACATCCGTGGAACCAGAGCAGAAACCAGCCCTCATCTCTGCTAATCCTTGCACCTTTTTGCTCGTGGGCCTCAACATTCTGTTTCTGGGAAGGGTGGGTAACAGCTTTAGCATCCACCTTAGAACACTTGGCAAAGGGAGTGATAAAGGGAGGCGGGGTGTGTGTGGGGGCGTGCACACGTGAGTCCCAGTCAGACTTGGGTGCGCGCAGTGAACGTGGGGGTTGGATGGGTAGGTGGGTGCTTGGGTGCGGAAATAACGAAAAATAAAACCTCTCACCATAAAAGGAGTTAGTTGGCAGTGCCAGGTCACATGGTGGCTGCGTAGAAAGATGGCCCGCCCACACGACAAGGCAAAGTTACTGAGGGTGGGATGGCTGCCAGATCCTCTCTCAAACCGCGGGAGACCTGGGGAATTTCTCCCTGAAAGGATAGGGAGCTGGAGACACGTGGTTTCGCTGTTGTGTTCTTGTTGGACACCTTCACCATGAATCCCTTGAAAGGTTATTGGAAAGGGTAAAGGGGGGTTGCCTAAAGAGTTTCTCCATTCATTACCTCCATGGTTGATTCTTTCTTGGAAAAATCTATTTGCTCTTTTTAAAAAAATGTTTTTATTGTGAATTGAGTGATAGTTCACATGGAAAAGCATTAGCTTTACATTCATCCTATCATATTCATTTCATTGCAATGATTACAATCCCCTCCATGCATCATCATTCAACAGCATTTGTTTCCATTTCCTCTGTGTTTTTTTTTTTTTTTTTGTTTTTTTTTTTTTTTTTTGTATGCACATGGAAGCACTCAGGAATATATAATCATTCAAACAACCAAAGGGTATACCCTGCAAGCCTGCCTCCCCCTCCAGCTCTCTTTCTCTCCAGAGTCCCCACGTCATCTCTCTGCCTTCATCTCTGGCCTTTGCTTCTCTGGTTAGGGTCCCACACTCTGCTCCTCTCCCTTGATGGTCCCAGGGTCTTCTGCAACTGGACTGTAAGATCAACCACTCCCTTCTTTTTGTTACAAAATGTCTACCTTTACATTTGCAACATTCACAATCAGTCCTGGTAGCAGTTATTCACAATTGAACCACAAGAGTCTTATCACCATCTCCTTTACCAGCCCTGCCCAGACAGATTGGAAACTACTCAGTGGAAAGTGTACCTTCCCCCGCACCCTCTGAAACTAGGCTCCCTCTTGAAAGCTTGTAAACCAGTCATTTTGTAGCTCTCTCCCCCCTCCCCCATTTTGGGTAGCCAATGTGTAAGTTGCCCATCCCTGTCAACCCTATGTACTGAGAGGGTGGGAATGATCCTTGCTGTAAAGATTTGTTTCCTCTTTTGAGCTACTATATCCATAAGTATAGGTCAAGTTCATAAAATTGCAGAGGATTACTCTTCTTTCCCCCTTCTTTCTTCCTCTAGTTGAGTTCTGATCATCCAGACATTGAAGCTAGGTCAGATGGGTACTATCTGCAAGTATGGGTGTTCTTGTGCATCTCCCCTCACTTCATATCAGCTAGATGCTTCACTCTCCACTCTAGTCCTCTGTGGCTATGTCCCTGTCCCTGGGCTCAGGAGTCTACAGGTATTGCTATAGAGCTGGCCAACCAGGTTTCAATCCAGCTTGGCAGGAGTCTATTGAATGTAGTTGGACTAAGCTTACAACTTCATTGCTGTTTTTCCTCCACTTCCCCTTATCGATAGACCAACATGGTCACCAGCAAGATTACATGGCTGCTGGTGTAGTCCCTTTGAATTTGAGTCTTGGAAGGGAGTTTGCCCTGAGGGGGCTTGATTGCTTGCCTTGATGGCTCCCCAGCCAACAACTTGCTTGTTCTTATAGTAGTCAAGTTGGACTGCTGTTATTGTTTTTTATTTTTCCTGCTGGTCTTTCTTTCAAGAAGTATCTTCTGTTCTTCTAGCTGCTCCAGGTTGGTCTGCTTGTCTTTTCAAGTGGAAATTTCCCACCTCAGAAGATTCTGGATAGAGACCAGGATTCCACCTACTGTCTTATGCAATGCAAAGGTTCCTCAGGAAGCCTCTTTCACTGGGCAAATTCTAGCCCCATTTTAGATATTCCAATCAGTTATAGGCTGAAGATGGACTTACAAGCTTTCTATGGTGACATTTCTGGCCATTCCTTTCTCTCCCCCTCAAGTGTGTATTTTACAATAGTAGGCAAGGAAAACCAAGATTCAAAAGACAGTCAATCATCTTAACATTATTTCCCCTCTTTTACCCATTCAAACCATGCCTCAATCCCTGTATCCCAGAGCCCTGTTGTTCTAAGGTTGAGCTTATATCACTATTTCCCTCTGTCCCTCTTAGCCCATGCAATCCTGCCTAATTGTTCTCCCATCCACCTTGTTCTTCTATTCCCCCCGCCCCCTTCTTGTGTATTACGGTGCCCAACACCCAGACTATTCTGTGTCTATTCCCTACCCTGTGTTTTGCCTCCCTTGCCCCACCCCTACAACCCAGTAACCAACAAATAATTTTGTTTTTTCCCCTTTTAGTGAGGGTACTTTTTCTTAAGCTTTTACAATAACGGTCCTATGCAGCATTTCTCCTTTTGTGACTGACTAATTTCACTCAGCATAATGTCAACCCTATTTGATCTTTTCTTTGAAAGTCTTCTCTGAATTTCAGTTTTACTTCTTGTCTTGTGAGGAAGAGTTTTTCTGTGTGCTCACTCTTTACTCCATCCTATTCTTATTTCCAAAAATCAGAACTGAAAGCTAAAAACTATTGTGAAACTTTATGGAGTAATAACAACTGTGTCACCATTAAAAAAAAACAACTATCATGTGAAATAATTGGGACTTCCACACAATTTAAATTCCTAGAAAAACTCCTTTTAGCATGCATTATACATGTATTTCACCATCTTGCATCTTCACCCAGGGTAAGTGAATAACTAGGTCCTTTGCTATGATAGGCTGGCACTGTTACCTTAAATGCTATTTCATGAACGAATAAGTGCCTTAAGAATTTGTTTGGTTCTCCACATATTCTCAGATAGCATAGTAACAAGTGTTCAATAAGAAATATAGAGGACATTTAGAATTTCAACGAATTGCAGGACACAAAATCTCCAGAACCACATTTAGTTTCATAAGGCAGTTTATGGATATATTAATATGTTGTTGTTAAGTGCTGTCAAGTCCGTTCTGACCCAGAGTGACCCTGTATAGGTTGTCTGAGGAGTAGCTGGTGAGCTTGAAGTGCCAACCTTGCGGTTCCAACCAACATTGCAGTCCAACGCATTAATCCACAGTGCCACACCAGAACTCCTATTAATATAATATCATTCTATTTACATGATTTCCTCATAAATAAAAGAGATTCATAAGACAAAGCACATTTGTTACTCAATACAGGTAGTTTCCAACTTTATGGTGTTCCTTTCCCATAAGTGGGAGAGTGGTGGCTCTGTAGGACGTAGCACTGGGCTGCCATCACTAGGTTGATGATTAGAGTCCCCAGGAGAAAGATGAGGCTATCTGTTCCCACAAAGATAGCCCCAGAAACCCTATATAGGGTCGCTCTGAGTTGGAACTAATGCCACAGTACTTACAACAACTTCCCATACTCCTTGTTAAGTCATTTCTGATTTAAGTAGAATATGTTTCCCATACTAGCTCCATCACTCGTCAGTCAGTTTGTGGTACTGTGGTGGCTTGGGAGTTGCTGTGATTCTGGAAGCTATGCCACTGGTATTTTAAATA